TTGCTTTCTTTCTGTTCTACATATCTATCTAGTTTGATCTGTATTTACCAGCTCTATCTATATTCTATCTTTTGTTTGTTGATTGTTCTCTTTGTATAGGTTCTTTAATTCCTGCTTCTAGAAGTGACTTCGTCTTTTTTCAAAATTTCCCGTGGGTTTACCCAGTTTGCCTATAAACTGTCCAGTTCTGGTCTTGCGTGATTCGTCTTTGCTTTATAACATGTGACACATATTTCAATAACGTGGTTGTTTGTTTACCTACTTTGCACGTGTTTGTGTTATGTGATTGATTTGTGTTTCAGGGTGTTTTGGAATTCCCAGTTTTGTTTGCAAAAAAGTTTTCTTCAAGATAATTTTCGTTAAAACTTCTTTTAGATTGCTTTTTTGTTCAAGTTTTTCTACTTTTCTACTTCTCTATGTGTATTTTTGCTTTTTGAATCTCTTTTCTTAGTGTACTAAAGGATGTTAATTAGTGAGTTTGATAGTTTTTCTATGTGGTGACCTTTAGCTCGATTTTGTGACCAGATGATCTACAGAGAGAGTTTTTGAGTCCTAATATTTATAATATTATAATAATAATATTATTATAGAATATATTATGTTTCAATAAATAATCAATAAAATATTAATAAAATATTTGCTTTATAGCTTATAAATAAAATAAGAAGATTGATTTATCATACAAATTTTGATAATATATTAGTTTAATTAACAAATTTTTAAATAAACTAGCTAATAATATATTAGCTTATAATATATTACTACAAAATCTTATAATAATCTTATATCTAATATTTAAGTATTTTAATCTGACTATAAACTGATATTTGATATATTTTGCTAAAATCTTTAGCTTATTAGTTTGTTATTATCTTTAAAAAAATCTGATTATAGTCTTTATCATATTAGCCTGCTATCACTTTATCTGATTATATACAGATATTTGGATAATATTTTTAATTTTAACCAGTAGAAACAACTTTATAATATGTAAAAAAGAATAATAACTTGCCTAACTATTCTAGTTCTCTAACAGTTTTAAGTAATTATGAAGAACAACAATTAGTTGAATATTATAAAAATATACAAAAACTAGAATTTAGACTTATAAGGTCTAGAGTAAATTATTATATAATGAATATTATGAATGATAATAATTGTAATTATCTTTTTAAAACAATAGATCTAGCAAAACATGGTAATCATACTTTATGAAAAGCTATTCTAATCTATCTTTGCATATATCTCAGATATTGTCAGAAACATATGCACAAAGAGCTAATTCAATTATAATAAAAGATTATTTTGATAAATTTCAAAAAATTATTTAAAGAAATTCACTTACTACAGATTGTATCTAGAATATAGATAAAACTAGGCTCATTATATTTTCTAAAGTTTAAAAAGTTCTTGTTACAAAAGGTTTTTATTAAGTTTATAAAGTAGTATATAGTAATTCTTATAAATATATTTCTATTACCCTTAACAATTTTAGCTACTAGTAGCTATATCCTTCTATTATTTATTTATAAAAGTATTTGTACAATTTTAAATTTGTTAAATAAAGCTCTAGCTAGCTCTGTTATAGAATTTACTAACTTAGAATTTATATGAGCAAATCTTTTTCAGATATATATTAAACATTTTATCAATTTTATTTCTTCTAGTTAGTCTATTCTTTTAATACTAGATAGTTATAAAAGCTATATAAATTATATAAGTATTAATTTTTGTTATAAAAATAGAATTCTATTATATGTACTCTCATTATATACTACTCATATCTTCTAACTATCTGAGCTTCCTTTCACCAAACTTAAATTTAAATATAGTAAAGATTGTATCAAACTTCATAATAATACTAGTAAACTAGTAACTAAACATATATTTACAAAAATACTTGAATCAGCATTTATCAAGATATATATTTCTATAGCAATTATTAATATCTATAGAGTTACAGAAATTTGGCTTTTTAACTCTAATACTATAAGTCCAAACTGTCTTGATCTATCTCTTAACTAAACAAATTAATCTATTTTTACTAAATACTATATCATCTTCACAACTAAATAATTTGCTTAGATTATCTTCTCCTGTATTATTTTCTCTACAAAACATTTCCTCTGTATTATCATCTTCTATATTATCTTCTCTATCAAATAATTTCTATATATTACCTTCCTATCTACATAATTATTCTAACTATATAGTTAATATTATTAAGAAAAATAAACATCTAAAAGCAAAAAATAATTTGCTAAAAAAAAAAAATGAATCTATAAAAAAAACTTATTAATTATTACAAGAAAAAGTAAAAATATTAAAAAATTTTGATATTTGCTCATTAAAACTGGCTCTTAAATATTCTATTTAGAAAGTTCTAATACAAGTTAAGTCAGAGTTAAATTAGCTAAAAAAAATCTTCTATTTGCTTGATTTCTTATTAATAAAAATTTTCTATAACAATTAAAAGAAATAGATAAATTAGTGAAAAACAATATTAAAAGTACAAAATGAAAAAAAGAAAAAGTTGCTCAGAAGTGAGTTGAAATAGAGCAAAGATGTTTGACTAAAAAAAAAAAATTAATAATAATATTGATGTAATAGATAATATTAGTCTAAGTTAATAAAGTTCTATTTTGATACTTTTCATATAAAAATTATCAACTATGTAATTTATATAGTATAAAGATCTTAATATTTGTAGATATGCTATAATCCCTATATAATAAAATAGTATTCAAAAATAGCTTTTAAAAAAGTTACAATAAACAAGTTTTTTTATTAACAATACCTATTTTTTTTAATTTTTCAGATAGCCAAGTATATAATTAGTTAGTTTAAATGAATTTTAGAACCAAATATTATTTTATAAAATATTAATTGACAATAGAGCTTAGATGTATCAGAATACCCTACTTTCTCTTATGTTTAAATTATATCATTTATTATAAATTATAGTATAATTTTGTTTTAACATTAAGCTGCTTAATATACAGTACATATTGTACATACTTACATAATAACTGTATCAAATATCTAACTCTGTATGATTTAGAGAAATAGGTTTTGGCTAGGACAAATAGGTTTGATGCATTATCTTACATAATCTATTATATCCTTGAATTATTTGAAATATGATAACAAATTTATTCAGTGATTGTTCAATATAGCAGACCAATTAAAAACAATCAATTAAGAGGCTCAAAATAAATTTAGTGACTCTGTCTAGGGTCCAATGTCTCCGATTAGCCCATATGTTAAACCTACTATCGCTATGTATTATTTATTTTATTTTATTCTTTTGACCACGTGATTTTCTAACAAAGAACTAGACTTGCGTCGAGCTTGCAGCAAAGAAAAAGGTACCTAACAAATTCCAAAATCGTTTCCTTTATATACCTTATACCCATGACCTCATACTTACTCAAATGTCATATCGTCATTCCATTTCTCTAACTACTTACATACGCACAACTAAAAACTCTACTAATTACATTCGAGTTATGTCAGTGATCGGGATACTGATCTCGTGACAAATGACTGCTCCGTGACTTCGTTCACGGCATTTCAAGATTTTATGTTATAAGAAGCAAAAATTAACCTTGTATAATTTATAGATAAAAATTTAAAAAAAAATTATATGGATAAAAAAACAACAAAAATTTTTACATTGTAGCTGTTTTTATTATTTCTGAGACAGCTAATCATAGTATTCTTATCAATTCTAAACAACTAATAAAAAATTGATGCCGATTTTGATAAAATATTTTTATCAACTGATAAAAGAAACTTATCAAAATCGGCATCAATTTTTTATCAGTTGTTTCAGAATTTACGAGAACAGCTGTAAAATTGACTATAATTATACAATGACTCTTTTAAGTTTTTGATAAGCTTTATTTTAGTCAGATCAATCAGTAGCTTATCATGCCGAATCAAAATTTAACGAGTCAGTATACAATTATTCGGTAATTTCAATTTTTTAAAAAGTCACCCGGCCAGGTTATGAAAAAATTAACTTTGTATGACCTAATGAATAGAAACATTCTGGCTTTAAACGATTCCTTTATTTTGTACATAAAAAAGAAACCCAAATTGAAATGTTTAAAACCTTATAAGCATTTTGTACTGTATTCCTCTCATGTAAACCTATCGTTATTCAAAATTTTAACTCTATAAAATAAGTATTATGGAAAATATATCTCAATGGGGCAATATGAAAATCTTAAAAAACTAATCAACTTATTAACTTTAACTTTCATGAAGTTATTACCAGATTAAATCATGGAATTTGATCTATTACGATAATCAAAAACCCAATGTTAAAAAAATCAATTCGTCTTGTCATACATTACACTCTTTGTATAATATCTGATATCTAAAGTAGTTTTATTTTTGCGATTTACAGAGTTAATGAAAAAGTACACTACTAATCCTCAATGAGATAAATATATTTTTTCGTGAAAACAATGTATGCATAGTTAACATAACGATAGTAATATGGTATATTGATTGACGCGATCACTTAGTTGTTCGATAACTTTGATCAAAAGTTTTTTCAATATTATAATACTGAAAGAAATAAAATGAAAGACGAATCCACGTTACTTTTGCAGAAAAAGTTATAATACAGCTTGATTGAATACTTTTTACCTTTGACATTATAATTTACAATGAATTAAAAACAATTCGCGACCTTAAACAATATCGATATAGATCGACAGATTTATGGTGTCACTCCATAAATGGAAAAAAAAATGTAAATATGATGACCATAAAAGGCATTGATTATCATACAAAGATTTTTAATATTCGCATTATCAGTTTGCTATTTGCAATATTTACATTGGCACTGGCATGAATAAAAGTATAAATTAAAAAGAATTACGATCAATAGAGAATGTAAAAGAAATAATCATGCATCATGCCTATAAAATTAATATTAATAAATGGGATTGCAACGAGATTTCACGAAATTCGTGGAATAAAAAAATTTAAAAGTCTTCGCAATTAAAGTCTTTAACAAAGAACGGATTATTTCTATGATCAGTATGCAGACGATCGATAACATTTCGTTGTTGAGAAGGTAAATGTTGAATTTGGTTACTAGCGTTTATGTTACTAAGAGGAATAAAAAATAATCTTTCTTATTAATATTTATATATATATATATAATAATTGAAAATATATACCTTACAAACTCCATATTTCGATACTCGTTTAGCCGATTCCATACATCGAATGCCCGAAAGGCACCGAGTTGTGGCCTTACTGGTGAAGGTTGGGGTGGAGGAAGACGCGAAGTAGCGGCAGCAGCAGCAATTCTGACTTGAGCTTGTGCCAATTTTACTAAACGAATAATAATAATTAATGACAAATATATTGAAAATAAATAATAAAAAATTTACAGATTTTGAAGATACATACATTCATTTTGAAGGAAACTTGCCCTCAATTCATGATCATCTCGGAAAGGGTCAAATATACCTTTATACTCTGAGAATTCCACTGGAGGAGAGTTGAAAAGACTTGAAGGAATAAGATTAACACCCTCAGTGGATGTGTTGGTATCTGAAGTCTGATTGACCTGCGAATAAATTAAAATTTAAATAATTTTTGATATTAAATTTGCTAATTCTATACATAATACTACTAATATTACTACATATAATACTATATATAATACTTTATTAAGCATACTTGATTAATAATTTCAGAGCCTTGTTGTTCCGTTTCTTCCTTCTTAAAAGGAGTCAATCGATCTTGCAAATCAGCAGGAAGTGTCATGCCAGACACTTGAAGTATCATTAATTTTTGACGTTCAGTAAAGACTGGAGTCATAATACCAGCACGCATCTTAATTTATGTATCATTACGTAAGTTTTATGTTATTAAGAATATCATTAAAAATTATTTAAGATAATTATTAAGATGATTTCTTAAAGATGATTATTAAATTATTATTATTATTAAGAAGATTATCTTTATTACCATTCGTTCCAATAACGTATCGTCAATGCGGTGATACTCCTTGCTTAAATGAATTTTAAGCGACTCGATGGCGACTAACAGAGCATGTCAGTCATCAATTAACAATTATTATAATATATTTAATATGCTTAAAGACTTACGCTTTAGCATCTCGAATAAAAGATCGCGTTGCAAGGTTGTATAAAGATTTCCTTGGTGAAACGGAAACTATGAATAGTCAATGTAACACATTAAGCCTTTCTTTGCTTATTTTTTAATTTTAGGTAGTACTTTTTTTTTTTTTTTTTCTATTTTTCTATTTTTTTACCTTTACAAGAACGCTTATGATATTTTCGAATGGACGTTCCGCACATTTGCGAGAGAAATGAAGCTTTTCAAATTTGTCATTATAATTAGATATTTTCTTCAGGGCAGTATTTGAAATAAGGTAATTTACCTTATAGTTTCGGCAAACTACTAAAAGAGAATTCATTTCCTCTCTCGTGATAAATGGAACGTGCGGTGTTGATTGTAACATTTCTGAAGTTACGACAGCGTCGCAACCAGAAAATTCCCCTTTCCATTTTGGAAAGACCGCTCTCATAAGATCTTCCTGAGATGATCGCATACATGAAACAAGCCGTCCTTTCAATGGCTTCATGTTACGTGTATCGACCGCACGGTGCGCCTCCGCGGGTGTTGCTAATTCGATATAAGCTTCAGAAAGAGTCTTTCCTGATGTTCTATTTAATGTTAATCAAATAACATAATTGTATAAATAAATGATAAAAAATACGTCATTCAGATTTTTTATGCAATACGAATATGATTTTTTTTTTTTGAATTTTACCTATCCATTATTATATGAATACATTGTGCATACAACGATACATTAGGTAACTTGAAAGCCGAAAGGAACGTTTTTATTTCCTTCAATGAAACGTCCCAAGGAATCTTTATGTATAAAGGAAAATAGGTTAGTACAATACATTATCAACCTAAATTATTAAAATAAATCATTAAAATCAAATTTATTATTAATATTTACGTTAGTAAGCTTAACAACGGGCCAATTGAAAGCAGTAGCTAATTTACTGAGATCCCCAAATTGAATCTGTTGGGGTCTATTAGTTACAGAAGCCATCGTTTGAACAGGTCTTGTAGCCAATGGATTCATACCGGGAAAAACCCAGGAGAGTGGACGAAGTACATCTTCTTCAGCAATGTTTTGCATAAATTGAACATTCATATTTGTCTTTGTTGGAGAAATATTACCACCCTGACACTCTTTTTTACCGGCAAATGTAACAAATTCCGCAACGGGCTTTTATAGAAAATTATGATAATAATAATAATAAAAAACAAATAGGCAATAATGAATTTACTTTATCGTAACCAAGCATGAATTTGATTTAATGATATACCTTACCGTCTTGCATAATATACATTCAGAATAAGTTTTGAAAGAACTTTTGACCGTATTTGAACGTAAAATGTGAACACATGTTTCGCACATTCTTTAATTCAAGAGAAAATTTGTTATCCTTTATTTATTATTTTCTATTAATACCTTTTTTTAACAGAAATAAAAATACCTATGACCACAAGGTTTCAATAAAACATTCCCATGGATACACGCGATGCAGTTAGTTCGCGAAGAAGTTTTTGGAATAATGTAGTCATGCGCGGCCTTTTCTTGCGTGGAAACCACCTTAACGGTTGGTGGCTTAATTAAATTAGACATAAATGATTGTCGGGAAGAGACCGAATGGGTTTGAGGCAATGAAACGGGCATGATCCTGTCGAATGGAGAGGCGATTGGTGAACTTGGAGCTGTGCAACCTTCTTCGGGATTCTCCTCTACTGTTTCCAACTTAAAATTTAATTACGATTATAGTTACAAATTTGACTTTTAAAAAAAGAAGATAATTAGTAAGATATATATTTATATAATTTTTAACTTACTTTCTTCAAAGAATCTTTAAAGTGAACGTTAAGAAAAGGTATATGTCTGCCATCGTTCCTGAATTTTCCCGAGGCTTTAATTTCAATAGATTCTTCAGTGATTGAAGTGGAACTGGTATGACCGCTCGATTGACTAGAATGACCCGATGACGCTGATTTATCAGAATCAGCAGGACTAATTTTCAAATTGTTGTTTTGGGGCTGCTTTCCAATAGGCGTCGATACTGATACTAAATCACATTTGATTTTTTTGATTTTTTTTTGTTCTCGAATAAGTTTATTAAAAACGAATAAAAAATAGATCGCAAAAAAATACTGATATCCATAATAATATCGAACGCGCGTAACACAAGATATTTAAAATCTTTGGCGTAACGTTGCGAAGGCATCAAAGGACCAAACGATATTTATGTTTTGTGTGTCGTGGGTGTATGTTATCATCAAAGTATCAATAAAATCAATACCACCTTCATTAATATGTTTTGTTATTTCGTCAAGTGCCTTATCAAAAGCTTTGGCGATATCGTTCTTGTCTGCTGTTACCATAACTGACCTTTTTGGGGTAGTTGTTGGAGTTTCTCCTTGTGAAGTGTTTGGCTCTTGATACATGATTATCCTTATTTGTAAAGTTTGTAAGGACATAAACGCGTCTTTTCTCATAAATAACTATACTTTTATCCTTTTTTTTATATATTTTCTTACCAGGAGAAACGAAACTTTTATTTTTTAAGTAAACCCGCCAAAGAAGCTAAAAAAGCAAATAGGATAGTAAGCGACTATTTTTTGCGGTCCCAACAAGTAGTATATAAAAGAAAGGAAGGAAAGAAAGAAGGATCTGTTTAAATTTGATGTGTAAAAAGAATGCGTTTATCACTATTTTTCTTACGTTTACTATCCTCTTAGAACCGACCTTAATTCAATGAATGAAGTAGTCTTATATTTATATGTAGGACACTTCGTGAGGTAGTCTAGTAATATGACGTAATTGTCGATTAATTAATTGATATATAAAAGAAGTTTGTCGAAGTTTATTGTGTTGTGTTATAAAACTGCGAATACATTGATAATAATTATGATCTCTTATGCTTTATAAATTGTCTTTAAGAGTATATTTTACTTTTAACGTTCGTTTTAAAGTATTATATTACGCGTGACGTAGATTTAGAAATCGCGTAAATAGAAAGTTCTTAACAACTATTTTATTATAATATTCTTTAAATTGACGTTTGGAAATAGAATCAAGGTAGATCAATAATAGTTCGGTTTAAATTTCACAGCTCCATTTTTATAAATATCGCACATCAAGCATAATAATCATGAACCAATTTTTCTTTACTATTCATATAATCAATAAATCCGGTTTTCTTAGTCAATTGCTGTGCAAAATTTTATATACTAATATTTTATTAATATTCATTAATGTAAAAATATCAATACTTTCGGAATTCAAAATTTACACAAAAACATATGGGGCTTTGCCTTGAAAATGACCTTATGGGATATAGTAATTTCTATGTTTCATAAGTTCATTTTCAAGACAAAGACCCCAACATTATTATTCGTATTTACATCTTTATGACTTTAACTGGTTATTTTAATTCTATGTAAGTCGATTTATTTGTTTTAGCCTTTTTCGTATTAACTTATGTGAATCTTTCAATAATGAAATTATAACTGTATCGATATAAAATTTTTTAGTATTATTCAGTATATTCTTGATTGCTATAAAAAATATATAGTAAAGTTTAAATAAAAGATTATTAAAGATTATACAAGAAACCTTCGATATAAGAAAGTTGGCTTATAAGAAAGTTTCTGGCTAGTCCCGATTTAAGTTTAATAAATTTCACTTGACATAAGAAAGTTTATTAAGAATCTTTCGATATAAGAATATAAGAAAGTTTGAGTTGCTTCTGGTTGTCTTTTCTTAATTAAATTAGTTGCGATATAAGAAATTATATAATTATAGCCAATCAAAACTTTAGATTAATGTATAACACTAAATTAAAAATCTTGTAAATTTATACGTATGAAAGATTTTTTTTATAATATATAGTGCGGGACAGTCAGAGATATCTAATCAATACACAAAAACGCCAATTTTGATGCTTATATAATCAATTTTGATTGGCTAATTCTTATATAATTAATTTTAATTGGTTAAAAATATATATGTTTTCTTTTTTTTTATATTAAACGCCAATTTTTTGAACTCATATTTTTTTCACTATTCGAATAGTTCTTTTTTATGTTTACATTATTTATTTTTTTTTCTTTGATTTTTCTTTTAGCTTTCCAATACAGGCGAATACTTCTTTCAATAATTACATTTTGTTTTGAGATTTCTATTTGAAAGAATATAGAGATATTAGATTTATTAACTTTACTTTCTTATGGTTTTCTATTTATAGTAAATATTTTTTAATATTTATCGATTTTTTTTTTTTTTTTTAAGGATTATAGAAGTATTAGATTTTCTGCATTTATTATTGTTTAATTTTAAAATTTTGAAAATTTTAGTTATTTTTATTTAATAATTATATTATAGTGAAAAAATCAACTTTTTTCTATTTTAAATCTTCTTTAAAATCATGTTAAATAATATATTCAAGAAAAAAGTATTGTTTATATTTTCATTCTAGCTTCTATTTATTAAATTCTTACTTTTTTTATTTTTATTCTTATTATTACAAATATCATTCTTGTTCTCATTATTACAAACATTATTTTCATTCTTATTCATATATTTGTTATTCTTATTCATATACTTGTTATTTATATTTATGTATTTGCTATTCTTGTTTACATATTTACTATTCTTATATTTACTATTCTTACTCATTTTCTCATGAAAGATTATATAATCATGATTATAATAGATTAAGAGATGTTGAGATATATTTTTATTATAAGGCTATGCAAATTTAATTAATTAGTTCTTATAATTCAACTAGTTTTTTTTAAAAATTTTATATATAATAATTTATAAAATTTTTATAAATTATTATCTGTTATATATAAATTTTTTTAAAAAAAGCTAATTGGATTATGAGAACTAATTAATTAAATTTGTATAGCTTTATAATAAGAGTAATAAGGATATTGATTATACAATCTTAATACAAATCTAATCATATAACAATATTAAAAAGAAGAGTATTAAGAGAAGGTAAGCAATAATAATTTTATAATTTATAATACTGTTACAGATAGTATAACCTTCTTAGTATACTATAAGTAATAGTAATATGACTATCTAATTATTTTAAAAAGTAATGTTTAAGAGTGAAGTTTTTTTAACTAATTGTAAAGACAAGTTTTACTCTACAAAAGACTATTCATTTAGATTTATTTAATAACAAATATATTTATTAATTATAAATATTTAAAGTTAAATACAAGAAGAAAAAAAAGAGTTGAGATCTAAATAACTAAAAGACAAAATATAAAATTCTACTTGTATTTATAACTTTTAGTAAATATTGTATAAGTATTAGCAAAGTATTATATAAGCATCTTATGCAAGTGTTACTTAAATGTTCATACAAGTGATAGTTAAGTGTTACTATTAATAGTTTGGCATAATAAAAGATACAGTACTTAGCATAGTTTAGTATAGTTTAGTATAGTCTTTTAGTATAGTCTAGTATAGTATTGGCATAGTATTTAGTATAGTTTTAGTATAATCTTTAGCAAAATATTTGGTATAGTTCAATACAGTACTCAGCATAGTTTAGCATAGTTTAGCACAATATTTTCTGACTGTAGCTTGTATTTTTTTTAGATTTTATATAATAATTTTAGATATAACTTATTATATTATTATATAGCTAATATTCTTAGCTACAAAGTTACTTAAGAATATTTTTTGTTATAAATACTTCTTAAGAGACTTTACTTAAAGGTAAATATTTATAATAATTTTCTCTACTCTAAAATATCTATACTAAAATAATACAATATAAAAAAAACTAAATACTAATAAATATAACTAATAATAATAATATAAAATATAATAATAAGATAACTAAAAATCTATCTTATAATATATTCTTTCTTTTAAAGAAATTTGTTCTACAAATTTAAAATTTAAGAACTTGTAAAAGTTCTATAAACTCTGTTTCTGTTAACTTTGTAATCTAGATTACAGTAAACTTTTTGGTCTAGTATAAGAGCTCTAAAAGCTTAATTTTAAAAACTTCTCTTAATTATATAGCTTTTTTTCAAATATCTCTTATTTTTTAGTTACTATATTGTTGATAAAGCATAGCTCTAATTAAATTTTAGTTTGCTTTATTATTTGATATAATCTTTTCAAGATAATAGTAAGCTTCTAATATTCTGATAAATTTAGCTTTATTTTTATTTTTTTTTTTTAGAACTTAGGTGATTTTGTCCTTTATTTATTGAAAAAAAATATGATAATAATGTTATAACATAAACATAAACTAAACTAAGCTATAGAGCTAAACAATATTAGCAACAGTAATACAGTTCAAACAATGTATAAGACAGAATAGACTTGGCTAAGAAAAAAAAATAATACAGAACACTAAACAAGTATCTAGAAACAGAATTGGAAAGCTTTCAAGAGTATACTTGAAAACTATCACAAACAATACCAAAACACTGAAGTAAACTACTTGTGATTATTCAAAATCAAATATATTAAAAATCTCCTACTAATAGTAGAAATACTAAACCTTAAAAAGCTGAAATTGTACAAAGATAGTCTATGCAAAAGATGCTTAAAGGAAAAAGAAACAATTAAGTACTTGGTCTCTTATGAAAAAGCATATCAAGTACTTGAAAAAATCAAAGATGAAGTATAGAAATAGCTTGACGAAGATAAAAGAAAAGAAGAAAACTAGAATTTAAAGAGCATAGCTTAAGTAATCCAATATGAGCAGAAAACAAAACAACAAAGGAGAAAAGAGTGATTAAAAGGTATACTGTGTAAAAAAGATGCCAAAAGAATCAAAAATATCATCAGATCTGAAAGTATAACAACTAAATTCTGGAGCCTGTACTAGAATATCTGGATAGAACTGGTATATAAGAAAGTTTAGAAAAACTGATGCAAAGATATGAAAGCTTAGAAGAAAAAGGAAAAAATCTCTAAGAAAGAAAAATACGCTCAGAAAGAAAAAGGAAAAAATGTTCTAAAAAAAAGATTATCAAGAAAAAAAACAAACTGCAGAATAGATAAGAATACAGAAAGTTGTAACATTAGTCTTAAAATAGTGATAAATAGCATAGCAAGGAAAGTAAAGAAGAGAATTTTAACTAACTAGATGTAAAATTAGTTATGATAAGCTATAGCATCTTTCCTATATTAATTTGTAGTCTATTGTTTTTTAGCTACTTAAGTATAGGACAAAAGTTACTATAGCAGATCACACATAGGTATCTTTAGGATAACTGGATAAGTTAGAGCTTAAAAAATTAGATATTAGATAGTATATAGCTAAATAATGTTGTTTTTAAATAGAAAGCAAATCTAAATAAAATCTTGGCATGACTGCTGAATTTTAAAAAAAAAAACTAAACTAAGCTAGTTACATAAATATCCTTTCTTTACAATTTCAGACTCACTTAGCTGCTAGACA